ATCCCAGGACCCTGGGATCATGACCTGAGCCGAAGGCAGACGCTTAGCGACTGAGCCACCCAGGCGCCCTACTGTTTTTGCCCTTTTAATTTTTTTCCCCTTTAAGACATCTTGAAGCCATATGAACAAGGCATATAATGCCATTTATTAAGTTCACTCATCAGTGTTTTATACTTTTTTCTTAAAGATTTTATTTTTAACCAATCTCTACACCCAATGTGGGCTCGAGCTTACAACTCCTGAGATCAAGAGTCACATGCTCTACCGACTGAGCCAGCCGGGTGCCCCTTGTACATTTTGATATACATGTCTTCCGCATCTTTCATCAGATTACCTAAGTATTTCACATTTTTTGATGATATTTTAAGTAGCACTCTGAAAATTCAATTTCTTATTGGTATTGTTAGTATGCTAATTACTACTTGTATATTCATCTTGAATCTTGCAATCTTCCTAAATCAACTTATTAGTTACTCGTAGCTTTTTTGTATTTCCATCACAGTTTCTACATGGACAATCACATCTGTGAAAAAGACATCTTTACTTCTTCCTTTCTTTTCTGGATGCCTTTTATTTCTTTTTCTTTCCTGACTGTACTGGCTAGAACCTCCAGGACGATGCTTAATACAAGTGGTGAGAACAGACATCCTCATCTCATTCCTAACTTCAGGGAGCGGTCTTTCACCGCTCCCTGAATATAATGTTAGCTGGAGGTTTTTTTGTTTGTTTTGCAAATGTCTCTTATCAGGCTGAAAAAGTTCTCTTCTACTCCCAGTCTTCCCAGAGAGTTTTCATCAGGATTGGAGATTAGATTTTTTTCAGTGCTTTGTCTATGTCTACTAAGTATATAGTCTTTGATTTTTAGTTTGTTAAAATGGTGAATTATATTAATTTTTGAAGGTTACATCAACCCTAAATATGTGGGACAGATCTTACTTATTCATGGTTTTTATCCTTTTAATATATTGTTGGTTTCAATTAACTAAAATACTTTTTAATGTTTTTGCATTTATGTTCATGAGGGATATAGGTTTGTGGTTTTCTTGTAATGCCTGTCTGGTTTTGGTTATCAGGATAATACTGTTCACATACAGTGAGTTGGGGATATTCCCTTCTCTTAAAGCTTTTGGAAGAATGTGTGTAGAACTGGTATTATTTCTTCCTTAAATGTTTGGTCCTGGACTTTCCTTTGGGGAAAAGTTTAACTACAATTTCAATTTCTGTAATAGATACAGAGTTAAGACTGCTCCTGAGTCAGATTTGGTAGTTTGTCTTTCAAGGAATTTTTCCATTTCACTTAAGCTATCAAATTTATTGGCATAAAGGTGCTCATCATATTCCTTATTTTCTGGAGCACCTGGGTGGTATGGTTGGTTAAGCCTCCAACTCTTGGTTTCGGCTCAGGTCATGATCTCAGGGTCCTGAGATCTAGTCCCACATTGGGCTCCATGCTCATCACGGAGTCTGCTTAAGATTTTCTCTCCCTCTGCCCCTCCCGGCCTGTGCTCTCTCTCTTTAAAAACAAATAAATAAATCTTTTTAAAAATTCGTCATTTTCCTTTTAATATCTGTAGAATCTGTGGTGATGGTGCCTTTCTCATTCCTGACATCAGTAATATGTTTTCTTTCTTTTTTCCCTGCTCAGTCTGGCTAGAGGTTTATCAATTTTATTGATCTTCTCTTTTTTTTAAAGATTTTATTTATTTGACAGAGAGAGAGCAAGAGCAGGAACACAAGCAGGGGGAGTGGGAGAGGGAGAAGTAGGCTTCCCGCCAAGCAGGGAGCCCGATGTGGGGCTCCATCCCAGGACCCTGGGATCATGACCTGAGCCAAAGGCAGATGCTCAACCGACCGAGCCACCCAGGTGCCCCAAGTACCAGCTCTGGGTTTTACTAATTTTATTTGCTATTTTTGTTTTCTGTTTCACTGATTTATACTTTAATCTTTATCTTCTTTCTTCTGCTTACTTCAAATTTCATTTATTCTTTTTCTAGTTTTTTTTTTCTAGTTTCCTAAGGTGGAAGCTAAAGTCAATGATTTAAAACTTTTTTCCTTTTCAAATACAGATCTTCCTCAACTTATGATGGGATGTCCCAATAAACCCACTGTAAGTTAGAAATATTGAAAAAGCATTTAATACACCTGACCTACCAAACATTATAGCTTAGCCCAGTCTACCTTAAATGTACTCAGAACACTTAGATTAGCCTACAGTTGGGCAAAATCATCTAACAACATAAGCTTATTTTATAATAAAGTGTTGAATATCTCATGTAATTCACTGAACACCAAACTGAAAGTGAGAAAGAGAATGGTTGAATGGTTGTGTGGGTACAGAACTGTTGTAAGTGTACTGGTTGTTTACCCTCATAATTGCATGGCCGACTGGGAGCTGTGGCTGGCTGCCACTGCCCAGTATCCCAAAAGAGTACTGTACCACATCTCACTTGCATGGGAAAAGATCAACTTTCAAAATGTGAAGTATCGTTTCTACTAAAAGTGTATTGCTTTCACACCATCATGAATTTTTTTTTTTAAGATTTTATTTATTTGACAGAGAGAGAGACAGAGAGAGAGGGAACACAAGCAGGGGGAGCGGGAGAGGGAGAAGCAGGCTTCCCACTGAGCAGGGAGCCCGATGCGGGGCTCGATCCCAGGACCCGGGGATCATGACCTGAGCCGAAGGCAGATGCTTAATGACTGAGCCACCCAGGTGCCCCACATCATGAAGTTTTTCAATCATAAACTGAATCATCATAAGTCAAGGACCGTCTGTAGAGGCATTCAGTGCTATAAATTACCCCAAGTACTGCTTTAGTGACATCCCACCAATTATGATATGTTGTTTTCATTTCATCCAGTTCCTAAAACTTTCTAATTTCCATTTTGATTTATCCTTTTACCAATGGGTTATTTAGAAGTATTATTTACTTTCCAGAGGTGCCTGGGTGGCTTAGTCAGTTAAGTGTCCGACTCCTGATCTCAGCTCAGGTCTTGATCTCAGGGTCGTGAGTTCAAGCCCCATATTGGGCTCCACGCTGGGCATGGAGCCTACTTAAAAAAAAAAAAAAAAAAAAAAGAAGTATTATTTACTTTCTAAATGTTTTTGGATTTTCCAGAGATCTTTCTGCTACTGATTCCTAATTTAATTCCATCATGGT